CTGCAATGGTGGATGGCTTTCAACGCAGAGGCGGATGTACATCACACACCCGCCCATCGGCGGCTTGACGCACTCTACCTCCAACTCATCGAAGGAGCGCAGGCTTTCATGACACACATGACCGTCACGTTGGAATGCACCATCGCCAACATCCGCACTAAGATTACGTGGGAGGAATTCGAGAAGAAATGGAAGACCCGGTTCATGGTCAACGATGACAAACGACACGCCATGAACAAGATCTTCCGCATATACCAAGGTCAGCAAACGTCACGAGAGTGGCTGACGGAGTGGCAAAGACTCGTCGCCACCCCGGAGTTGAACTTACCATTCGACGCAATCCGGGCCGAATTTTTTGCTCGGTCATGCGACGCCTTGACAGCTGCGCTGGACACCGAATTCCAGTATGAGACCTTTGATGATCTGATCTCAAAGGCAAGAGAACTAATCCAAGGTAACCGACGTGCGGCCAACGAGACCCGCCAGCAGCCCGATTACGTGGAGAAAGGAAACGGTCAACGGACGCCACAAGTAGCAGCGGTCGAGCAAGGACCAAGTGAGGACCCTGCAGCCGCGTCTACATCAAGTGACAAAGATGTGACGGCAGCAATACCACCGCAATGCTCAAGACCCCGAGGGGGAAAACAAAAGGCGAAACCAGTGTCGGCGGATGGAGCACGACAGTCACCATGTACGAAGTTCGGCATAACCGAAGACGTGTTCAAGTTGCGGCAGAAATAGTCRTGCTGTTTGTGGTGCAACAACACCAAACACATCASCARCGCATGCCTCGACAAGGACAAGGAGAATGTCAAATGTTCGAGCTCGAGAAACTGAGCACCGCGGGAAGTGCAGTGACATCACTTCCCAATCCGCCGGGATCAGCTGCCTTGCTAGCAATCTCTGTCACATCCGGGGATGACGCGGTAGTCGCAAGTTCTCGCGGCATCGAGTTTGAAAACTATGTTGTCGAGCTGGTCCCTCCGTTGAACCAGCCTCTCCACGTGCAAGATTCAAGCGCATGCGCGGTAGTTCTKCCGTCGGACAACGAACCGGTTGCTTCGCCAACCCTTCTACCAGAGGATCCGTCAACTTGGGCGAGTCTTGAGGAACTCGACCCGTTGACGGTTGAGGACTTCCAATGGTTGCCTCTTCCCTCCACGGGTTCTTTGCCAACACCGCATTGCAATGCCTTAATGGCACATCTGCGTGAATACTTGCACGCTGCAGTACCACCTCCGTCGACGGACAACGGAGTAGCGGTTGTTGACCTTCGTAACTATCTTGCGAAGATCGACCGCGAGTACGCAACGCAACGGTACGTCRACATCGACCCGCCGCTCCTCTACATCCGCATTCAGATCGGAAAGGCGTCCTGCAGTGCCTTGATCAATTGTGGAGCGACTCGCAACTACATCAGCCAAGACTTCATGGCACGCGTCGGGCTTGGMCCACGCGTTCGAAGGAAAAGTCAKCCTACGCACGTCATGTTGGCCGATGGTCACACGCAAAAGTCAATCGACCGATGCGTTGACTCGGTGCCCGTGTACTTTGCCCCGCTCGCATGCGAGACCATGTCTTTCRGCATATTGGACACCAAGTTCGATATGATCCTAGGCATGTCATGGYTGCAAAGCGAAGACCATCCAGTGAACTTCCAWCGACGCACWGTTCACGTTTGTGATCGGCGTGGCGAACTAGTCCCGTGTACGGTGCCGCTTCCCCATCCTTCGATTGATTGTTACGTGGTATCCGCGGCGAGCATTCGCCAATCCATCCGGCGGAACKACATCGAGGAGATGGGMATATGTTTTCTTCACGCCATCCCACCCAGTGATCAGCCCAAGACGGATACGTCGGACCCACGCATCATTGAGTTGTTGRACAACTACGAGGATGTCTTCCAAGATCCCGCTGGAGTCATACCTGATCGGCCCATACTCCACGGGATCACTCTCGAGGACGGCGCCGTACCTCCGCGCGAATGTATCTACCGCATGAGCGAAAAAGAACTTCAAGTGCTTTGGGCACAACCAGACGACCTCTTGCYCAAGGGCTGGATTCGCCCTAGCTGTTTGCCATACGGTGCTCCCGTTCTCTTCGTCCGGAAGAAGARCMAGGACTTTCGTTTGTGCATCGACTATCGGAAACTTAASGCGCAAACGATCAAGAACGYCGACCCTCTCCCTCGGATCGATGATCTTCTCGAGCGACTAGGTGGCGCCAAGTACTTCTCAAAGMTTGACCTCAAGTCCGGATACCACCAGATCGAGATTCAACCAAGAGATCGGTACAAAACCGCATTCAAGATGCGGTATGGGCACTTTGAGTGGATTGTCATGCCTTTCGGTCTCACCAATGCCCCGGCTACTTTCCAAACGGCTATGACGACAGAATTCCGCGACTTACTTGACCGCACCATACTCATTTTACCTTGATTATATCTTGCTTTATAGTCAGACGCTGGACGAGCACCTCGAGCACCTTCGCGCCATATTGGAGCGGCTCCGTATCGCCAAGTACAAGGCGAACCGCGACAAGTGCGAGTTTGTCCAGCAAGAGCTGGAGTACTTAGGCCATTACGTTACGCTGCAAGGCATTCGTCCTCTCGCGGACAAGGTACAAGCCATTCAAGATTGGTCGGACCTCAAGTGTACTACTCACGTTCGCTTCTTTCTCGGTTTGGCATCATGCTACATGCGCTTCGTCAAAGGATTTCAATGCATCGCTGCACCATTGTCGCGACTTCAGTCCCCCTTGGTGCCCTTCGAGCTTAGCGACGAAGCCAGCATGCGTTTCACACGCTGAAGACGGTTTTGCTTCAAGCTCCCGTCTTAAGCATCTATGACTCGACCTTGCCTGCTAAAGTGACTACARACGCTTCCAGCTACGGSATTGGCGCGGTTTTGGAACAGCATGACGGCAYAGACTGRCATCCGGTTRAGTACTTCAGCCAAAAGGTGCCGCCCATCAACACTCTTGATGATGCGAGGAAGAAGGAGCTCCTAGCTTTTGTCACCGTACTTAAGCGTTAGCATCACTTTGTCCTCGGGCGTCGGTGATTCACATGGGCAACGGACAACAATCTGTTGACATATTACAAGACGCAAGACACGGTGAGCAGCACGATCGGTCGATGAATGTACTTCATTGACCAGTTCGACTTCACCTCCAAGCACATTACGGGCTCCTCGAACAAGGCAGCGGATGCTCTCTCGCGAAGACCTGATCTTTGCGCCTTGGTGCACTCCACATTCGGCCTCGACGAGAACCTGCAACAACATTTTGTAAACGGATACAAGTCAGATCCGGGATTTTCCACACTCTATGCAGACTTATCATCGGATCACCTGCCGA